GAGGCTGGGTTTGAACTGGTGACCTTGTGATTATTGGCACACAGGCTTAGCCCACTGAGCCACACAGAACACATGACCCCAGTTGGTTGACTACAAGAATTTTTATAAATAAATTACAAATATCAACTCTAAACACAGAAAGCATACAATAGGTATTTTAGACATCCAGAAATTGTGCAAATGTTGCAAAAGTAGTCAAGTAGAAAACAATTTGAATAGTGGAATATAATCATGTGCATTATACAGTATGTGTGTATGATCAGCAGGGTTTAAATATGAGTACAGTCAATCAATTTCAATACATCTATATTGTACAGCACAATATTATATACAGTACTATATGCTATATACAATATCTATACAGTATCTAAGTAGTATTGCATTTGTAAAATGCAACTAGAAAACCGCTTGTCTCATGCTGTCTTGCCATGCTTCCCCGAAGATAATACTTGTTACAGTTCGCATCAACTGATTACCTCAAATTTTTTGAGTTTTGCCAACTTATTCGGGATTACAGTGCAGTATATTGTAAATTTTACTGCAATAAACCATATTTTCATATGTTTTTAACTGTGAAATGTAAGGTCTTACTCTGTAAAACTAATTACGGTTTTTCACTGTAAATTCTAAGGTTATCGCATGTTTTGTGGAATATGGTTTTATCCGGTAGCATTTATACGGTATTTTACTGTTAAATCTACGGACATTTTTTACAGTGTAGATAAGATTTTTAACAACTCTGAGCTATTAGTTAAGTTCTCCCCAAGCGAGCTCGATGGGCCGAATGGCCTCCTCTCGTTTGTATAGTTCTTATGTTCTTACCAAGTAAAGATGCAGCTGGTCCAAGTGGTTGCCTTTGGATGCATGTTTGTTATATTGTGCATCATTATACAATTGTACCACTGTGACTGCTGTATTTCTCAATCAGCATTGCTCTTGTTCAAGCAGTGACATTATTTTCTTTTAAAGGCTGAACAGCAGAGTACTGGTGCAGCTTGTCCAGGTGGTCAACTGGAGGTATGTGTGTTTTGGATATGTAGTGATCGAGTTTGGGTGAGAGATGAATAGGGCAGTTGCATGTATGATGGAAACACATGTTCTTTGTAATTTGCTTTTCCCAGAATGGTCAAGGACAGATTGATGGTGCACATATATTTAATGCAGACAGTCTGAGAGACGACAAGTTAGGAACACTCTCTGTGACATCCAGAAGACTTCTGGTGAAGATAGGTGTGAGCAATCTGGTGGAGCGAAAGGGATTGTGAGTTCATCCTTCAGGGAGTTCAGGGAAGTAAATATGATGGTTTAAAGTTATTTATTTATTTGACTGCTCTGTGGTGAACCTGACTACTCGAGAATGAATTGCGAACTGGGTATAGGGTTGTTTTTTTGGTGGCCTCAAGATTCTTCATTTTACTTTCAGTTACCCTTCAAATGTTGACAAACAGATGCTGGCTAAAAGCATAATGGCAGTCTTCCCATCACTGAAGATGAAGTTACGAGAAGAGAATGAAGGATTTGTAAGTGTAAACAGATATCTTGCAGTAAAATACAATTTTCATAGCTATATTTGCTTACATATTGGCTGACGGGGGAGCATAATTCCACTGTATTTGTTTTCTCTGTCAGTCTTACTTGATATTTCATGTCAAATGAAATTGTTTCCAGTTTGGGATTTGATTAAAGGGTAATAATGTAACTTTTCACATGTTTCCTCCCATAATTCAAATTTGCAGTGGTCAGAAATGGCTAATATCAAGAAAATAAGTCATTCCCATATTCAGTATTGGTGAAAAAGCATACTGTCAGAAGTCTGAGTCCATATTAAGGCAGGAATAGCGTGGAACTCGTATGAAAAGATTGGAGTTATCCTTGTATTAAACTATTTCCTTTATTTAATTGTGAACCAGGAGCACTTCTATGATCCAGTGTCCCACTGTGGATTCATTGAGCTGAAACTGAGGAACCTACGGAGAACCCTTCATGATGATCAGCGACGTTATCGCAAGCGGGGGAGGTCCAGTGATTCCTCAGGAGTTATTATTACATTGGAGCCACTTGCAGAAGGGGAAGAAGAGTCCATTAAGGAGTGGGTTACTGTCACCAAAAGGTTGAGACCATCTCCTGAGAACCTTGCATCTATCAAAATGGGCATGGAGAAAACCTTCACCAGCCGAAGGCTCTGGATCACAAGCAAGTCACCAACGGTGACTGATATTTTTCAGCAGTACCCTCGCTTTGTAGACCTGCCGTACTTGGTATGTATACAGTACATTGCAGATCATTGCACATCTGCTACTTTAGAATATTGGTAGAGACTTGTTCATGTTTGCTAATATTTTTCGACTGTCTTAGAGCTTAGGCATAATGTATGAATTTTGATGATGGGTGCAGTTCCATTTTACTATCATAGCTGTAATACCCGGTATTTTTCAGTTGGATGAAGAGTTTGGGAAAATTTATCCAGGGAAGAAAGACCTCTTCCTTCGGAAATGGGAAGGATATATTGTTCCAAAACTACTCAAAGTGGCTACACTTGAAAATGAAACCAGTGTCCATCCAGATGAGGAGAGTGATGGTAAGTTACCTTCCAAGCATATCACACAAATAATAATGCATATGTTATTATTATGGCCATAATGTGTGAGGAAAAAGCCAGGGTCTCTTCACAACCATACAATAGTATATCAGCAGTTTTAATTCAGATTTCCACCAGGGCTGAGAAATTTAGAAGAAATATGTATATTTGTAATATTGTAATATTTGAGTTGGCGTCAGCAATTGTATGCATGCCATTTCTTTTCATGTTCTCCTCAGAGTCACGTTGCTTCAGAGCCCTTCAGCTGCTCACACATTATCTACCTCCTACTTCGTCAGGGAGGGCCAAAGGATGAACCAGATGCAGTGTAAAATCTGCCCTATCTTACATCTTGGACATGAAACCGGTAGGAAACCTGCCGTTGTCTATGAATGTCCAACACTTATCATAATAAAATATGTAATAACACAGATGATAAATATTGATATCCTGCCATCCTTAATTCATATGATTGTGTTTTTTGCAGACTGGAAAGAGCATCCACAGCCTTTTAGAGGCATCTCCTGAGGCAGCAGTGGGAGTCCACTAGCCCAAGCTTGTGTGTTTGGGCCACCCCAGTACAACAGCTCAGTACATCATTGTGGCACAGAATGACAAAGTTGCCATCCCACTTCAAGATGAGGGCTTGACATGTGCCATTGAAAAGCTGTTCAAAATGTTCTGGGTTTGCAACCTGGCATATCCTGCACAACTTGAATCAGTCTATGATTTCTTTGAGTATGTTTATGACATACCTGTCTCAGGTGGGAAGAGATCAAAAGTTGTGGAGCTTATTGCAAAGCTCCAGGCAGTTTTATAATTTGTGACACCATGTATACTTGTCCCAAGTGCAAGAAATCAATTTCTAAACAAGTAAGGACACTTATCAGACATCTTCGGCAAGTCCATGCAATTTCAGATGGACAGGATTATACAATTGCATGTAGTCAAAACCACCGTCAAAGAACTTACCATAACTTCAATTCTTATGCCAAACATCTCAATAGAGAACACACTCAGGTTGCAAACCCAGTTCCTTTGGAACAAATGGTCAATTTCATTGTGCCAGATGATGTTTCTATGCCATCTCGCTCTAATGCTATGAACACTTCAGAAAATTTGGATTGAAATTTAGAAGAGATAAACAAATCATATAAATTTAGTCATTCTCATACGTGTTAAGGAGAACTCTTGTATGTTTTTTATACAGTAATTGAAGCAATGGACAGGGCAGCCATGTTTGTCCACTACCTTGATGGTCCCAGCATTTATACTGCTGGGGGAATGCTGGCTGCCCCTGGGCCAAGCGTGTCAACATTCCCTGGATCTGTGGAGCTGCAAATGCCCACACCTACACCAGTGTGGAGCGTCTGGCCCCAGCAAGGGAGCGAGGCTCCCGTTCCACTCCTGCCACCAAGCAGCATCCCTTTTGCGACGGAACCAACCAAGAAGGGCAAACGGCGTCGCCAGAAGTACAGGAACCCCGAGTCCTTCAGCTCAAAATACCAAAGGCTGATGGATGTGACATATGGGACTGCACAATATTGGTCCATGGACAGTGATCTAGATTGTGCCAGTTCCTTTGCCATGTCAACCCGCACAAAATGTGGGGTAAAGAGGAAGTGGTGCAGGGATGCAGAGGTCCAGAGTCAGGGCAAAGCGGAAAATGGTGGCCAGAGTGTAGTTGAGGAGGTGGGAAGGGCTGCCAAGCAGAGCAGGCAGATGGCTGAAGTCACAGAGACTACCACGGCATCCGAGTTCCAGAATGCTGTTCCCTCCCTTGTGGAACACAAATGGAACCTGGAGGACCTGGAGTTCCTCAACAGTATCCTCCAGCCTGATGAACTAGCAGTCCCTCCTACACCAACATACTGGCCTCTAGACTCATTTGAGGGATGGGACCCGGACCTGTTCCTGGACCCAAGCTTCGGTAGTTGGGAAACCTCCTGGCACAGCCAAACGCCCAAGCACTGGATGTGCAGGGCGTTTCCCAATTCTCTGGACAAGTCCCTGTCTCCCAAGTCGAAGGGAGCCAGGAAATCATGGTGGAGCCCTAGATCCAGGTGCAGCAGGAGAGCTCAGGGAATAAACTTGACCCCGAAGAGCTCATCCTGCAGCAGATCCTGGATGACCTGTTCAAAAACTGTAAATAGTGTGGGGGCATTCTGAAATAAAAGTTATATAGCATGTAACAGTGTTGTCTTTTAATTGTACAAGGTACTTAAAAACTTACACTCAGCTGGGTGAAGGCATGGTGCTCATACATATATGTTATCAGATGGGCATAGCATGGCCCTAGAACCTTCATCAAATAAAAATGAGATCCAACGAGTCCTCAGAAACACAGGAGTGTCTATCCTGCGTGCGAATGTGTGAGACAGAGGGAGAGCCCAGCCTTGAAACACCACAATGGATTTATCTTCTGTGCCACGCCCCCTGGTGGATCTGGAGTGTCCTGCATGTGTGTCCCCTTCTCTCAGTCTCACTGCAGGTGAGTTTCCCCTGTGTGTCTACCTGAGGTCCACATTAAATTCCATGAAAAGGGCCTCTGGAGGGGAGAATTGCAGCCAACCTGCACGACCGCAATTTTGGACTTTTGCTCAGCGTATTTGACTTTTTCACATTTCTCTAATAGCAGTCCTGTTCCTGCCTCCCCCCGCCAGAATGTTTTCAGTCCAACGCTACCTTAATCAGCTTCATATGGTCTTTAATAAGCTAATAATACATGTGGCAGGTTGAAAGCAGAGTGGGTTGGAATGAAAACATTCTGGCAGGGGCACGGGGTGCCAGGAACAGCACTGCTAACTACTATCCTAATATATTAATATAGTCACCCCTTCACATTCTTGAGGGCTAAAGGCGGAAGATCTCCATGAATGTGACAATATCCACATAATACTTGGGCCCATTATTAAAAATGCAAAATTAACGGTGCTGAAAAGTTAAAAAAAATTATTAGGTGAACCGTGAGATTCCGTGCTCATAGAAGCAGCTCACACATGAGTGAGGCTTCCCGCCGAGACGAAGACGTGGGGCGTACCCAAGCCAAGACACATATATCCCATGGAATTTTTCTTTTTTTTTTTACCAGAAGTTACTTTTAGTATGAAAGATATACTATGCACTTACACAAACAAATGATAAATAACACAGATATATGACATGCCATTGACGGCCTACTCATCATCTGTGAGGTGCCTGTATTGCGGTTCTTTGGCACGCTCCCAAAATATTCCCATTTAATTTATCACAGCCAACTGAAGAATGAATAAACTGAAAAATGTAAAATTTGCCACTTCAGAGGGACGACTATCCTCTCTTTTCCTCACTTCATTTTTTTTTGTCAATGTATTTTTTATTGGTTTTTTCAGACATACAAAAAAAAAACCCCACAAAAGACAAGCATTAAGACAAATAAACATCATAAGACAAATGAAAATAAAATAAAATAACATAAATAAAAAAACACAGGGTCCAGAGTAGTCACTCAGTTACTTTGTACACATCACACATTATCCAGAGTCAAGGTGCATTGTCAGCTGTTCTATATGAGAAATAAAAGGATGCCATACCATATCAAACTTTCCCACTGATCCATGCAATGCATATCTAATCTTTTCAATCTTAAGGAAAAACATGACATCACATATCTATCTACCAAAGGAGGGGGGTTTCTCATTTTTCCAATTTAAAAGAATGAGTCGCCGAGCCAAAAGGGAGGAGTAGGCTATACAATTTAATTGTGTCTTTCGTAATGGGAGATCATTCAATGGTACGCCAAAAAGTCCGATAAAAGGACAAAGGTCAATGGTTACCCCCAAAATCGCAGAATACACCTCAAATATTGAAGACCAGAATGCAGTCATACTTGGACATGACCAAAAAGTGTGAAAGAGAGTAACAGGTGCTTGTCTACATCTGTCACAAATAGGATTAACCCCCAGGTGGATTCTTTGAAGTATGTTAGACCATTGATCATCATTAATAGTTGTACCCATATCCTTCTCCCAATTTTCTTTTACTATTGCCAATGAAGAACCTTCCATGTCAAATATATTTGTGTACAGCTCTGAGACGGTTCCCCTAACCTCTGGCTGAGTTTCTATGATTGAATCAAGAAATGGTGTCTGATAGGGTTGCTCATTTCGATTAATATTCCCAACCGACAACCGGCGTTCGTTATCCGAACATTGTTAACTGATCAGTTTAGAATATTAAATTAGAATTGAATGAAAACAGAACTGATGAGCGTCTGATTAAATATGCAAACATTATTTTTTTTCAGTTTCGGTAGGAGGAGCAAGCGAGGGGATCCTTGCCCTTCTTCAGAAGTAAGGATATTGATGCCTGACGTAGAGTTGGAGGCAGGCATTGGGACTTTAAGCTGTCATCAAATACATCCTTGAGTAAAGGGTTTAATTTTGCTGCAAACTTTTTATAAAATTCTGTAGGAAAGCCGTCCGGGCCTGGACATTTCCCACTCTGCATGCATGTGATAGCTTTATTAATTTCATGTAAGGAAATAGGGCTATCTAAAGATTCTCTTACATTCTCATCCACGGTGGGTATATTCAGGTCTTCAGAGAACCTATCCATTAGACTCAGATCAAAAGGGTGTTCAGATGTATACAAATTAAAATAGAAATAACTAAACTGCTTATTAATATCTAAGGGATCTGATAATAGTCCTGTGTCAGAATCAATCTGGGCAATTACTTGAGTACTAGATGTCTGTTTTAAACTATAAGCCAGAGCCCTGCTTGGTTTCTCCCCATACTCATAAGACATATGTCTGGTTTTTAACAGAGCCCGTTCCGCCTGTCCAGTTGAGAGCAGATCAAATTCAGCCTGATACATCATCCGCCGTTTATATAGCTCTGGAGATGGACCAGTGGCATAGGCTTTGTCTACTCTAGAGATGAATTCCAAAAGTTATGTTTGCCTAACTACCCGTGCTTTATGAACAGAGGCATTGTAGGAGATAATTTGGCCCCTCAGGTAAGCCTTGAGCGTCTCCCAAAGTAAGAAAGGGGTGATCTCTTCATTTACATTAGTTTCTAAAAATATATCTATAAGAACATTTACGAAGGCAATAAATTATTGATGATCTGATATTAATATAATGTTATAAACACATTCTTTTACCAATGGGAGTAGAGATGTATGTATAAAGAAATAATCTATACGTGAATAAGTATGGTGAACGGGTGAAAAAAAAGAGTATTCCCTCTTTGTAGGATAAAGAAATCTCCATGGGTCAGACACCTTGCAAGATTGTAAAAAAGTCTCTATGCATTCAGCTGTTTCTGAAGCACAAGTTTGGCGATTGGAGGATCTATCCAATACTGGGCTAATTACACAGTTACAGTCACCAGCTAAAACAAGCTGATGAGTGTCCAGGTATGGTATGGTCAATAGAAAATTGTTCATGAACTTAGAATCATCCCAATTTGGAGCATATACACAAGCTAATATCACAGGCAAACGGTACAGTTTACCCACCACAATAACAAAGCGGCCATTGGGGTCCAATATTGTTTCAGACGCTTCAAATGATACTGATTTGTTGATCAAGATTCCAGCCCCCCTGGCCCTACTCCGAAAGGTTGAAAGGAACACTTGTCCAACCAAGCCTCTTTTTAAACTCAAATGATCTGACCTGCGCATGTGCGTCTCAGTTAAGAAGGCTATATCCGTTTTTAAAAACTTAAGATGAGCAAGGACCGTGGTGCGTTTGATAGGATGATTTAGGCCTTTCACATTCCAATTAGTAAACTTAACTGACTGGCCACTCCTCCCAGGAGCCATATTTGAATTAGCCATATTTAATACTGGTAATATCCAGCAGACATAATCTGAGTTGCAGTAAATTAATTCTGTGACTCTGGTAGATGTCATGTTCGAAACAAAGTGTAACCACTAATGGACAAAATGAAAGACAAAAAAAACAACAAAATAAAAAAAAGACTTTAAGTACAAAAACAACACACACACCCCACCCCCAGCACTATCTCGAACACAGTGCATATCCCAAGAGCAAAACACTGCAAAACTCTAACTTGGGTCTCTAATTTAACCAAAAACGACCCAAAGCAAAGCGAGCAATCACATTCAGAAATATATATATAGTGCAAAATACCATGTATTTTGTAATGTCTCAAATGAAGTAGGCCTAAACTAATATTAGGCCACTATAAACATAGTGTACTACCAAAGAGCAGCCCATTCATGACCATTGGTTTTCAATTCAGTAGCCTAATATGAAATACTATGGTTTAATGGTTTAAAATTATAGTAAACAAAAGCAGCTCAAGAAAATCAACTATTTATATGTCATAGCCTATTTATATGAGGAAGAGAACAAGAATTCCCGGCATGTTGAAAAAAGTGCCTACACCAAACGTTTCCATAGACTCATAAGAACCGAGAGAAAAAAGGGAAAATAAATGTCTTTCTCATAAATTGAACAACATAGCACTATCTGCATTTAGTAGGCTATAGACCTGGTTAATTCAACTTTGACATTGACGGTGAAATAAACCTATACAGTTCGGTCACTTAAAAAACACTGACCGTTTTTGAAAGTTATGTCTGTCCCTGATCATGATGGAGGTAGAATGGTTGTCTTTATATACGAGATGGCCCGATCGGGATCGGTAAAGGTTTTTTCCTCGCCATCAAATGTGATACGGAATGTAGCTGGATAATGGAGACCAAATTTCACATCCTTAACAGTTCTAAGGAGCTGATTTGCCTCTTTAAAGGCAGCTCGCTTCTTTGCTAACTCCGGAGTGAAGTCCGGAAAGATGTGTACACGCTTCTCTTTGTAAAACAGCTGCTTCTTCTGGGTGGAGAGGCGAAGGATGCGATCCTTCATGTCACCATGATGTACGCGGATTACGAATAGTCTCGGCCTCTCCCCCAGTGTTGCCAACTATTTATTTAGCGAGTTTTTAGACCTCTCTGGCGACTCGTTTTCAAAAAAGCGACAAATCTAGCGACTTTTTCTAGTGTTATTGGAGACTTTTGGAGACTCTGAAGTGGAAGCACCTATCGTTCTTACTCTCCTCACCGAGCAGCGGGTGCTACTGTGGGCTCCCCTCCCGTCCCAAAGCATTCACAGGCGGACAGTCCTCACGCAGCAGCCCCGCCCAGCTGCAGTCAGAGCAGGAAATGTTCACCTTTCCGCGTCCAGACTGCAAATGAATTGCGCATGCGCGAAGCCACCACTGGCTGATCCTGCCCTGGCTTATTGCCAAAAACTCCGCCAAGTATGACAGTTTTTAAGAATAAGTAATTCCGCCAGTGTCTCTTTGGGATCACTTTTGCCGGTCCCAAGCCCGGATATAGGAAGAGGGTTGGAATTATGATATAAAAAAACAAGAATCGACAGAAGAAAGTTCATTTGTAGTTCTAAACGTATTTAGGGTGTTTTTTTTAACCACCGTCTCTCCCACGACATTATTTCTCTCTCCTACAGCGTCTATTATAATTACATGCACATTATGCAAATTTGGCGATGGCGTCATTTAGCGACTTTTGGGACAATCAATAGCGACATTCCTTGCTGAGGAGTTGGCAACAGTGCTCTTGGCCCTCCTCTATTCCAAAAAGCCGAATATTCTGACGCCGGCTACGGGCTTCCAAATCCATGCATTTAGTTGTCAGGCTACACACATCTGACTGCAGTTTTTTCACGGCAGTTTCCAAAGTGATGACTGTAGAGCTCCACGCCGTGGTAGACTGCTCGAGGTCGTCCAAACGCTTGGAATGCTGTGCATTAGCAGTCTGTAAGGAGCTAACCGTAGAATGCATGGATGGAAGTTATTTCTTGCCGGAGGGCAGCAGTTTGTGTATCTATTTTCGTGCCCAATAGTTCAATCGCTGTCATAATTTTCTCAACCGAATCCGAAGAAAGTTGCAAAACTTTTAAACGCGTTTTCTTGCTGCCTTAGTCCTTCAATTAGTGATGTTTTCGGATAAATATTTATCTATCAATATGGCTTCTGCAAGTATGTAAATATAATGAAAATGAAATTGTTCGCTGAGCTCCTGGACCTCACAGCCTCACATGTCGAACGTCAACCGGAAGTTTTCCTCACTTCATTTGATGTTTTCTTTACACTAAATCACTGAAAAACAGTGGGTTTGTGTTGTATGCTGTGATCAGTGTGCCTGGTTGTAAGAATGTCAAACCTTAATGGGATCCTGAAATCACAGGTTGATGCCCCCCCATACGTTTCATGTCCACCCATCCATGCATTTTCTGTATCCACTTGTCCTATTCAGGGTCACAGGGGTTTGGAAACTATGCCAGTAGCGATGGGTGCAAAGAAGGGAATAACCTAGGATGCAGTGTCAACCAATAGCAGGAATCTTACACTATTCATGCATATGGACAATTTGGTAACTCCAGTGCACTGCAGTATGTTTTTGGACTGTTGGAGAAAACACCGGCATGCAAAATGTGTAGGTTGTTTCAGGTACAGAACTTAAAACGATCCTTCCTTGTTTCACTGGAATAATTTAACTTACAATAACAATGTAAATGCTTTACTTATTTAATTAATATATAGATATAATGATGGCTTAGACAGTCGCCATTAATGTATTTCTTATACGAGCACATGCAATAAATGGGAAACTGTGCTAATGACTGCGTGACGTCACCTCCTTGCTTGTGAAATAAATTCCTTTCGCCTTTTAACTTTGAGTATAACAGCGTACCAAAGCAGGTAGGTCTCCTTATCGATTAAGGTTAGCCTTTTCTTTATTCAACGGTACAGACAATAATTCCTGTGTGTACGTCACATAGAAACCTTCTTATTAATTATTTTAATTTTTATCATATTTTTAAAACACATCTTGTCGGTAACTAATAGTACATTGTACATAAACAATTTATAATCTTTAGGGATGTAATATGTGGCATGTAAAATCACGAGAAAAAGGTTGGTTTAACGCTTCGTTAAAAAAAAAAAAACCTTGTTATTCTGGCTGTAGAAACTCCAGCCACTAACTCTACCGGCGCTAAGACAGCGGTGTGGAAACGTTTCCTATTCTTCCTGGAGAAACTGTTAGCAGTAAGGTCAGTCGAAGTTACAGCATGTCAAGAATGACAGCAGCTTGATGCATGGTGCGAATGAAGATTGTCTTATCTGTAGATTAAAATAGGTAAGTATACTCAATTTATCCATCTTTCCATCAGTCATTGCACTTTCAGTCTTTCAGTTAAGTTTCATTGATTATTTAAATTCAGTTGTTGAGTTACATTTACATGCTTTAGAGTTTATATTCATTTAAATGTTTTGATAGATTGCATCATATCCATAAATATATCGGGGAATTCGCCACACCGCAAAGAACCCCGATCTGTAAGCACTTAATTTCCATAACTTTATGAAGTGTTAATATATTTAGTTAATAACAGGTGTCAAGTTCCACTCAAGGGGACAGAAATCAGACTGCTAACAGGAATTTAAAATATCGATTACTCCCGGTGATAGTCATTGCACCTCTGCCAATTACTTCTTTAATATATGATTGAAAAATTGGGTGACTGAAACAAACTGCTGGACAGTAACTGTAGCAGAAACTATTAGACAGGAAACGAAATGGGCATGTATTATGAGTATGATGACACATTAAAAATATATATTTACATTTTTTATTAAGAGTGTCATATTCCAGACCCAGATGTAACGCGCCATGAGCGTGGCCGGCGCATTTATCGATGATGTAATAATACCGTAGAATCTCCAGGACTTTAAGCTTTAGCTTTAAGTGTCGATAAGTTTCGCTACGTAGATTTCTTACGCAAATTCCCCGCCGGAATCTGGCGTACCATAATGCGTCTTTCCCGTCCTGCACCGTCTCCGGGTCGCATCGGCAAGAGCACATGGGATGCAAAATTGGGGCATCGGTTCGCTGGTGCATTTCTGTAGCATAATATAGACATATATATATATATTTTTTTTTTAAAAAAACGCCTTTCAACCTGTGCATTTGACGTAGTCGGCCGCCACCGGGAGGAGGAGAAAGACGCACTGTATGGCGTTTATGCAGACATGGCACAATGGTGCAGCCGACAGCGATGCAGTTTTCTTTTGCATTGGTCTGTTTTAAGAGAGATAGTCACGTCTTCGATAAGATGACTTTTCCCATTTAGAAAAAGACCTTTCATTAACACTGTGGAGATCCCGATGGCTTTTTGTGTGCTATCCCTAAAAGTTGGCGATTAAAAACCGAGCAGCGCCGTTCCGGAAAGACGCCGGGTACCTTGGCTATCGTCACGGCATGGCGCCCCATCCTGTGGTCCAGGCTGCCATCGACCTGTCTGCAGGGGCCCTAGGTAACAGATTTATTCATCCTTGCATGTCCCCTTATTTATATTACGAGGAGGAGGCTGTTCGACATACTGCGGACATAGTATATGGCAGTTAGATTATTTCGATTTTTGTAAATACAGTGTGTATATAGTGTAAATAAAGCACGTCACAATCTATTCTGCCTTTTTAAAATCTGTGTTGTAATTGCTAGCATAACCTGTAGGCTCTTTGGTTCAACTTTCAGTAGATTTACTGTTGTGGTAGAGATATACTATGCCGTCTTTAATCCTCAGATGTATGGCTGGGCATTTAAAATATATATTGTTATGTGATGTTTTTCTGCTGAGCAATATGGTAGTATATATATATATATACTTTTTTGAATAAACTTTTACAATCCAAAGATTTAACGTTTATGTTGTAAAAGTACAGAGTTTCAGTCTAATTATGTCACATTGTGCACTGGAACGTTTCATCCAGGAAGTAGGGGAATGTTAACTGTCGCCCTCTGTCAGGGGGCACGGCCTGCGTCATGAGCGGGCAGCCTTTCGACACGGCCAAGGTGAAGATGCAGACCTTTCCCACCATGTACCGTGGATTCCTGGACTGCTTCATCTCCACCTACAGGGTGGAGGGGCTTCGGGGCCTGTATCGCGGCACGTCTCCGGCGCTGCTGGCCAACATCGCGGAGAACTCGGTGCTGTTCATGAGCTATGGCTTCTGCCAGGAGGCCGTGCGCTTGGTGTCCGGGCAGAGCGAGGGCGACAAACTCAGGTATGGCGTGCACCACTGCCACACCTCTAAAAATCATGTATTTGTGTGGTACTGGGCTTTATTAAAATGTGGTGGTTGTCAGTTCTGATGTGTATCCTCCGCCGGACCCGTGTGGACTTCAGAACACATTAGTTCTGGTTCGATACCAAAATCATGACTAAGGTACGATACCTGCCTAAAATATTTCGATATCGATACTGAAACGATACCACAGCAAAAAACTACAACAGGAAAATTAATGGATAACCTGATGGCAGAACATGAAAATATTTTTTTTATTACTTAAATAACATTTGATCAATATCAGTCAGATAAAATATAGCCTATTTTGTCACAGGTGCAGAGTTATAATGAACATGTTTTAACAAAACTAAAGTTGCAGCTGCTGAAATGTATAGCCATTTAACATGATTTATTATATTTATAACATTGAATTGGATTATTGTAAATAATTAGAGGTCTGCACTCTACTGAGTGCATTTTTTGGTAATAGAGAATATTTACGCAAATGTAGCGTATGTCTTATTACCTTAGCTAAAAAGATAAAGTCAAATTAAACAGTTAGGCTGTCGTTGCCCTTGATTTTGCCTCTCACACTAAAAAGTTTGCTTGTCACAAAATAAATCACACTCGTTTGACTTATATTTGAGGGACAGGTTTAATAATTATGTATCACATTCACTCACCTGTTGCTCTTTAAATTCTTTAAATATGTCAGGATGTCTGGTGGCAAGATGCTTAGCCAAGGTCAATGTGTTGGCTCCCTTGGTCTGTGTTGATTTAAAGTATTTTTTAAAACACACATCTTTGCTGTGTCTGGCAGTTGGCAGCCATGGGTCTCCTGTAATGGTGTGATATTTGCGAATGATTTGTCTGCGGGGAACAAGTCCCTTGCAGGAACTGTACACTCACGTTCACATCCCTGCGAAGATTTGTTGTTTTCATTCTTCCGCTTGTCCTCAGAAATATGACAGGAATGCTGCTTCCCTTCTCCACTCTGGCCAATGAGAGCCAGTGAGGCATGTAAGTGCATGCTGTAAGCAAGCGTATGATTGGCTGGAAAGTAGGGCTATACCATATCATACCATCCACAATAACACTGTTATAGATTTTTACAGGATACGCAAGTGTCATCTTACGATATCAATGATATAGCGACATGATGCATTTAGTGCTGCCACTAATGATTATTTTTCTATAAATTAATCTATCAACTATTTTACTGATGGTCTCATTAATCTAAACGATTAATTTTCCTCCAGGAAATCAAACTGACCATATCATTTTATTTCTAATCTCTAAATTTATTTTGTCAACTGTATGTCATTGTAGGGTTTTAGGTAATGGACACCGGATTCTCAGCACTATGCAGACATTTACTTACACCCACAATTTGATAATTCTAAAATATTTTTGAGAGATACATTGTGATGTCCAAAAGTTAGTAATCTATATAAAGTCACAGAATTCTTATGCTTATTAAATTCGGTTAGCGGAGCGTGCCTCATGCGACTGTTTTGGTATAAGGCAGCAGGCAGACAACTGTATGGTTTTAATGATGAGTGTATCCAGTAGCTATAATGACAAAGAATATTTAATGATAAATGTAATTTAATAAACCTGAATAAACAGACCTCACGGTGGTTTTGCCTACTCCGATGGGCCATCATCCAGAATAGCGCGTGTGCGTTTCCTCTTCAGGTGCTCGTGTATAGCACTAGTGCCACTGTGGTATGCCATCCAAACTTTGCCCCTTTTTCTTTTGCGATAATTTGAGTTGCATAATTACGTAGTATTACTGATGGAAATAACGAATTAAAGTTGGCGTTCTTGACAAAAAATTTAAAGCTCTGACTGATGTCTCTGTCAGCTGGATAGCTAGTTAAGTGTTTGTACAGTTACAACACTCACATTGTAACATACCTCATTTCATCTATTTTATGTTTACACAAGAAATTAGAGGCGATGCAACATTTCTAGCGCTGATATTCTACCTCATTTGATTGTCCGTTTCTTTGACAGCATTTTAATTTTATTTTGATAAGCAGCAAGTGTTTACATTTTGACTGAAGGTTTGTTTGGATTGCTGCTGTTTATTTATATTTGTACTTAAAACTTGAGGTCAGTTTTATTAGATGACTGTTGTGCTGGCTTCCGAACAGTTACAAGGTTAAGTTACTTTAGTTATTGTTAAACAAAAATGTTAAGTAGTTATGTTATACTTACGACTTCCAGGGAAAACACTACATAGGCTGTCACAGACTGGGGCATGGTACAGACAGGAAAGGAAGGTGACGATCCACTTGCGGCTCCACAAGAACAACAGAGGTTTGTTAATGAATAGAAAACACTGGGAACACTACAAACAAAACGGACCACGAGGGGTTAACACTAAACAGGGGAATGATATAACTGACAGAACAAAAAATGATCTTCGAAGAGAAACTGGTAACACCGAGAACAGGCAGGGAAGCAAACCTAGCACACAGCAAAACCAAATAACCAACTTCACAGAATCAGGAGAACAGGGTGACCAGTGACACCTGCTAGCCAAATGGGAAAGAGACACAAAAGACTGGGGCAGATGGGTGCTGACCCTGACAATAGGCTACTTTTGTACTCCTATGTGACTTACGCTGTGTCACTATATAATGCTGTGTCACTACTGTTGCACTATAGTGCTACTGCTGCTGCTTGTAGCAATAGATTCACACTTTGAATTAGATAGTCTGTCATCAATGACAGTAGCTCATTGGAAAAGAAGGAGAAAAATGAAAATGCTCTTCATTTTGTTTGCACTAAAATGCCGCCGCCTTTTTTTTTTCTATACAGACGCTCCTCTACTTACGAATGAGATATGTTCCGAACGGCCATTCATAATTTTAAATGTTCGTAAGTCGTTACTAGCGGGCAGAAGTGGTACCAGGCGGAACTGGCACGCAGAAAAAAAGCTGATGTTGCGGACAGGAAATGGGAGCCTAGTGAACACAATTTGGACTTACAATCCTCTTCGTTCGTATGTCTGAAAGTTCATAAGTTGAAAGTTCGTAAGTAGAGGAGCGTCTGTATTATCATTAATATCATCATCACAGATTTCCTTGAAATACTGTGATATAATTTTGAGGCTGTATCACCCACCGTGGTGGCGCAGTGATTAGCTCACAAGCAGAAGGTCTGGGGTTTGGTCCTGGGTCTTTTCTGTGTGGAGTTTGTGTGGGTTTCCACCAGGGTCTCTGGTTTCCTCCCATGGTCCAAAAGTGTGCAGGGCAGGTTGATTGGCAAGTCTAAATTAGCCTTTTGTGCATGTTGGCAACTGCCCAGGGTTGGTTCCTGCCTGTGCCCCTTGTTCCTGGGACAGGCTCTGTGACACCAGTTGCGGTTAAGTGGTTATGGTAGTGGATGGATGGATCACCCATCCCTACTGGAACCTAAACCCGAGCTGAGTTGGTGAGTGAGTCAACGAATGAGAGAGTTTCTCCTCTTCTTTGGGCCTCTCATTCAGAATGAGAATTAGAGATCTGAACGAGAGACTTAGATAGGCTACTGAACCAGAGAGCTGTGCTTCGGTGACTGAAATATGCCATCTACTGGTGTAGTATATAGCTTACATGTGAAGTGACAGCCTGGATGCTGCAATTGGATTTTGAGATGGAACATTTTCATGATTTGTTAGTTTGTTAGTGTTAGGACTCCTTAGCTGACTATGTGATGAGCTGTTAACAAACATGAGTAGCTAAGGTACAACGTTGAGAGGCTTAGACTATAATTCAGTAACAAATATAACTTTTCTCACCCGAGTTATTGGTAGTATTTAGTTTACTCCTTAGCACTATTTAGCATAAATAATAGGATATTTTTAAATATATATGAACACAAGTGTTTGAGGTCAATTTCATGCAAACAGAAAGTGCCACTGAACTAGTTGGGGAATGAATCAAAACTTTTTGGTCTTTTAGGTGAACTGAATAAAATGAACTGTTTCCCCAAATAGAGTAATTTTGCCCATCACTTTTCTCTGACAAAGTTGCAGGATGAAAGAAAAAAATGGTTTTGCGGTACTTTTTCAGTATTGTTAGAGTGGAACACTAGAACACATTACACCCTCGAAATCTTTTTTGTGTTATATTCGTATTCCCTTATATGGTGTTGGGATGGTCTCGTCTGTGTGACAACTTAAAATATATTTGATGGATTTTTTTCAAACTTTGCAGATACATTATCTATGTGACAAACTGGAACTAATTACATTTTGAGACAGAATTGTGCTGAAATTGAAGCAGCTTTGCATAGTGATTGCAAAGAAAAGGGAAGTTTTGACACTTGAAAATATTGTGTATTTACCATTTGCACAAGTATATTGGGATGATTCTCTTCACCTGCCCCATCTTGCTCTCTATAAGACACACAGACAGAGGAGCATGAGCTTGAGGAATCACAGCTGAGGGTCACCCATCATGCAGCCCTCCTGGAGCTGGGGGTTAAGGGTCTTGCTCAAGAGCCTATGGACATGTGACTATTCTGCCAAGGTTAAGACTTGAACCAGTGATCTTTTGATTATAGGCCCAGAGGCTTAAGCCACTGAACCACTCACCATCCCCCTTGATACTGTTAGGGTGATAACTCCAAAAGTATTTGACAGACCTTTTTCAAACTTCATAAATATCCTATGGGTGACAAACTAGAAATGAGATACTGAGACAGGTTGTGAATGTGGTGTCCAAAAAGTAACTGATGGATCTTATTACTACTTAAAACATAATATGGATGAAGATCTACACCTGATTTAATTTGAGACAAATCGCCAGAAAAGTGAAGCAGCAGTAGAATGTGGCAGCAAAGGAACAAAATCCCAGCTGTAGACGACACTTGGCACCTGTTACAACTTATCCCAAAACTGAAACAGCAGCGATAGATGGCAGCAGAGGCCAGAAAAGCAGGCATGACACTGGTGTGTCTGTTATAGGTCTGTTACGTCACGGAAAATGTTGGCCATAGTGCAAATGAGAAATAAATAGAATATATAAATATTTAGACTTAGTTTGGTAATATGTTTGTAAAAGTGGCTTCTTGTAACTGCCCTGTTCTCACCAGACTCACTGTCGTGTCGCTTCTTCTTGTCTCAGCGACCTGCAGAAAGCGTGTGCAGGCTCAGTCGCCTCCATCTTCTCCTCGATGGTTCTGTGTCCCACGGAGCTGGTGAAGTGCCGGCTGCAGGCCATGCGCGAGATGGAGGCTTCCGGAAAGATCGCCAGTGGCCAGAAGTGAGTCCGGGCCCTTCTGTCGGGAAACGGGGAGCAGTTTAGGACCCTGAAGCCCACGGCGACCTGCCGTGTGAGCCCGACACTCTTCCTGTGTTACTTCACCCGTGTGAGGTCCCGGTCAGGACTTAAGTAAGAATATCCATGCTTGATATGTGCATGTGGAAGAAATATTACAGGGCAAACCAAAACTTAAAGACAGATACCAGTAAAACAAGGAATCTTTTAGAAGCCAATTACACCAAATTTTTAAATGGCGCATTTATACACTTAAGTACTATATTTTTTATATTTAGTTTGCTTGTCTCCTTACTATCAAATGCTCAGTGATTAAAGCACAGAATCCCAGATGAGTTTTACCAGGAACTTCATTAGAGAAATATTGGCTTGTTTTGTTGTTTTCTGGGGAGCCAGAACGTGTTCTCTGTAACCTTCCTGGTAGAACGGCGTGGTCTGTCGTCAAAGCGGTCCTGCGTACAGACGGTCCCCTGGGCTTCTATCAGGGTCTGAGCACCACCATCGTGAGGGAGGTGCCAGGATACTTCTGCTTCTTCGGGGCCTACGAGCTGTGCAGGACGGCCTTCGCCACTTACCTGGGTCGGGCAAAGGACGACATCGGTACACCCCCCCTCTGCCTCACTCCAGCCTGCATGTTTCCTGGCTTGGTGTTTGTGCTAAATGTATAGATCTGAAGCAAGTTTTTGCATAAATGATCAAATTTGCCCTAAGCCTCACTTAGTTCAGCCAGATATCCGACCGATTCAGAGATGCCTGACCGTGGTTGTCCCGGCCCTGTGCCACACGTTAACCCCCTCCCCACGCGTGCTCCGCAGGGGTGGTCCCGCTCATGTTCAGCGGTGGGTTCGGGGGTGCCTGTCTGTGGCTGGCTGTGTACCCCATCGACTGCGTCAAATCCCGCATCCAGGTCCACTCGCTGGCCGGCCGCCAGGTGGGCTTTCTCCAGACTCTCATGGGCATCGTCCGTGCTGAAGGTGAGGGAACTGCGACTTCTCGGGGAGCTCAGGTGAAGCTCCGGTCAGACATGGTGTTCACCATGCATTTGCCTGAGGCCCCTGATGTTTTTCCCCCTATTGGCCCCAAACAGCCACTACACTAAATATTAAATAAACACGTTCCTTATTTGCTGATGCTGAAGCAGTATGATGTTCTAACCAGCCAGCTAGCTACAATCTTCTGACTGTACTCGCTATCTACTTATTTAGTGTTTGAAACAGGGGGGAAGCCCCAAAGTGACTTTTGACTGGGGCCCCAGAAGAGAGAAACCTGCCCCTGGCTCCAGTTATTCCAGTGAAACTCCAGTTCCTGGAATGACTTGCTTATTGTTAGTATTACTGTCGGCTCATTTATTAGACATTATGGTGTAGGCAGTGTATTCAGTACAGCCCAGTCTACAGAAAGTTCTGTATAAATAACACAGGACTTCACATGTAGCTTATTCTACATGTAAATTTCCACTGTTGTGTGCTTCTCCCCAGGAGTGGCGGCACTGTACTCGGGCCTGACGCCCACCATGATCCGCACCTTCCCCGCGAACGGCGCCCTCTTCCTGGCCTACGAGCTCAGTCGAAAGGCCATGATGCAGCACCTAGCCACCTGACGGCCTGACGACACCTCTGGCCCAAGCCCCGCCCCGCCCCGCCTTGCTCCTCACACTACCAATTACACGGCTAGCAGCACAGGAGAGCTGAGCACTGGTTGGAGGAACGGAATGACTCCTGAGCATGAAAAACAATAGCTAGCACCTGCCTGACATGTCAGCAGCTTCTTTATGCAGCTGTTTGAAGACAAACAGATACAAGCTTCATGCTGTTTATACTAAGGTTTAATCTCTGGCATGTTTAAAAGCTGTTCCATTACGGGGCGGCATCCCAAGGCTCAGTTGCCTACAGTTCAGCGTGTTCTTGCGATGGAAGAAAGACGGGGAATGTTCCGTTGACCTGACCGTGCCCAGCGACCCCGTTAATCAAGCCAGAGTCCTGTTAATAAGATTAGCACCTGTATGCAGTTCAGTGCAGATGCATTCCGTTCAGCAGAGTGTTCTTACCAACATGTTTTTTTTTTATTTGAGGGTGAAGGGAAATGATTTTTGAAATACATGAAAGCAAAAAATGACTTTTAATGGATATTTTTTTATTTTTTTTAATTTAGAAGATGTATTATGTATTGATGAATAACTTACCTCTGTGTGCTGGAAATCGAATTCTGTTTAGAAACTTCTTTGTGACTATTTGTAATAGAGTGAGCTTACAGTACAAAGAATGCTGTATTGTGAATAAGTGTGTTGTAAAACACAGATAAGATACTGTGACAGGCAAAGATTTCTGGGTAGGGAGTCAAGGTCTTGGGACAAAATCTGTGCTTTTTGTGAGTGAAAATGATTAATTGTTATTGTGCACCAAAGAAATGTGTCCTCCGTTTAACCTATTTGTGACATAACGACAGAGAATAGTACTTTACTGGGTATGAATTTGAACCAACAACCTTTCAATCAGAAGCAGACTGCCCTAACCATTATGCTCCCACAGCTATTTTAACCCATTGCTGTTAAACAGGAGCTAAAGATCTCACCTTTTAAAAGCCTCGACTTCATAACACCGTAAGTAGATTGAACAACATGGATCAACACAAAGCCAGACAAACCTCATTACTGGTATGCAGCAGCCATGATTAGTTTCATATAAAGTTTAATAACATCGGAAAGTTAATACAGTAAAATGTTATTAATTGATAACAATTTTAGACTAAGCCATAAGTGATGCATAAAACTCCATAATTACTCTTCTTTCAATTAAATCTGCCTATTCATTTTGCCAAACCCTGATATTTAATACAGTCCTTAATAATAGTTATCAAGATCACTATGAATTTCTTCACTTATCCTATCAGTTAATTGAGGCTGATGGGAAATCCTCAAACTGGAATTTTTGAAGTGCTTATTAAACACATTCAATGAATTTTAATTATATTCAGTGAATCCCCATCATTTTCACATTTGCCACTAAATGACGTTCGTTCCACTGGCTGCAGACGTGAAAGATGCCCACTCCCCCAGAGTGACTGCCAATTATCCCACCAGCAAAGTCTCTTCCTGAATTGGCTGTCCTAACCGTGACACCAAGACCCCTCAAACAGCTCAGATATCGTCTTTGGCGCACTTAACACATTCAAAACCATGTGACACTGAAGGGAAAACACCTGAGGCAGTAATTTAGGTATCCCACAATGCAACAGCAGTTGCCTGGTAATTTTTGCGTGCGACTGGCAAAGTCAAGCGACAGAAACACGATCAGTTACACCTTTGTTTCCACACAGTGTGGGCAGTTAATCATGCTCCTTGAATAGCCATACTAATTGCTGTTTTCTTAATCTTTGTAACCAACCAACAGCTTAATGCTGGTTAGGAGGAAATACACACAACATTGCAAACTCCACACACCAAGCAGAAGCAGGTTTTGAACCCCAACACCCAGAGACATGAGCCTTTTGCTATGAACTGGCTACCAAAATGAGATCAAGTAACCACGCTGTACGATAAGATATTAAAAAAGCTTAAAAACGGAATATGTGTGAGCTGACCACGGTTAGACATCCTACGGTTTATTTCACGATGGATTGAAATGGATCACAAATTTAATCAAAGGTTTGACACTAAGGGGGATCTGTATACAACTAGCAAACAAGGGGAAGTGCAGCTTGTAGGCACTAAAAAATGAAATCGGCTCTGAATACAATGGCTGTTCTTGATCGCTGACCTTTAGCAGGCTACTCATAGCAGACATGACTAAATTACATCTTTCCTGTTCACTCTGCTTGGAAGCCAGTATTCAGCATTCTGAAGCTGTCCAGGATAGCAAAGTCGGGCAGCTTTAAAACCCTAAACCTCTGCTGCTTCTTAGAGGTGGTACAGTTTGTGTTTTCTTAAACCATGTCTGGTCTGAATCTACAGTGTGGGAATGTCAACAAACTTACAGTTTCTCACTAGTACGAAGTCGCTGGTGACCAGTCCTGCTCACTGGTATTGAAATTCATCCTCATATCTGTTCCATCCCCATTTGGAGATGCCCCACCCACGCCCTACCACCTCCCTGTCCCAAAGCTCATGACCACAAGTCACACCATGATGAGGGTCTCGCGTCCTGGACTTCTGGTGGAACAGGTTCAAAGCCCATAGTCCATTCTACAAACAGATTATATTTACAACAGCAACAGACAAACATGCGTGTCTGTGTATATGTACACATAAACAGCTCTGGAAAAAATTAAGAGACCATTATATATATTTTTAAGTCTGCATTTTTAAAACCTGGTTTAATCCTGGTTCTGCTAGCAGAAGGCTATACTGTGGGCAGGCTGCTTCCAGGCTCAAAATTTCTAAGACAGCAGTACACAAGAATAAGGTGAAGCAGGAGACACTGGGAATGATCAGAAACCAGCCAGACAGAGGGCAGAAGTGACTTTCTAGTGGCAGAGTTGACCATCAACTGATCCGACAGTTTCTCTTGAATCGGAGGATGACATCAAATGACCTGGGAAACATTAAGTGCAGGTGTGAAGTTCACTGCTAAGACAGTTTGTATCAGGCTCCTAGAAGCAGGACTGAAGTCCCATAAAGCAAGGAAGAAGCCCTTCATTAATGAGAAACAGGGTAGAACCAGGCTGCAGTTTGCAAAAAAAATGCATACCCATAAAAATTGTGCTGTGGTGTCTTAATTTTTTAAAGAGCTGTGTGTGTGTGTGTGTATACTACGGTGGCCCCTAGAGACAAAACACATACAAAAGAAAAAGCAGAAACAAAATGAAAATGCGCAGCAAATTAAAAAAACACACACAAAAGAAAAAGCAGAAACAAAATGAAAATGCGCAGCAAATTAAAAAAACACACGCAAAAGAAAAAGCAGAAACAAAATGAAAATGCGCAGCAAATTAAAAAAACACACGCAAAAGAAAAAGCAGNGCGCATTTTCATTTTGTTTCTGCTTTTTCTTTTGTGTGTTTTTTTAATTTGCTGCGCTTTTTCTTTTGTGTGTGTTTTGTCTCTAGGGGCCACCGTAGTATACACATATATACATATATGCACACATAGTGTTGGGAAGGTTACTTTTCAAATGTAATAAGTTGCAGATTACTAGTTAACCTGTTAAGAATGTAATATGTAATGTAACTGTTATGATGACTTGACAGTAATGTAACCTTACATTTGGGTACATTTTTATTACTTCTCTAACAAATGTTTTAAGCAGGACAATAAAGCTGAAAAGTAGCAACTGCTTTGCTGACCCGCATTGTCTGGAAACATAGAGAGAGAGAGGAATAGGTACAGTTGCACATAAGTCAATACTGGAATAGGTAAGATGAATACACGGATACGAATATAACTGTGTAATAGCAAACTAGCCCACTTTACACGCACATGTACTTGGGTGACAATGGTATTGTTGGATTCCAAACAACAGTTCACACGATATATTCATTATTCACGCCGAGACAGAAGGGTGATAAGGTGGTTTCCATGCAATCGCGTGTGTCTTCCAGTCAGGTGGGATCGCTCCATACCAACCACAAACTGACAACCAAAAACAGGAGCATATAATGCAGACTTATTTTTCTGGGTATTAAAAATAATTTAGGAACATGAATCCCTTTGCCATAGTGAGGGGGCGGTACACAGCACACGGCAGTGAAGTTTCGAAAAGCAGCAGAGATGAATGGCAGAGCTACATATGAGCAGTACCAAAAAACAAAAACAACCAGTACAACTGAAGTCACTTCCTTGTTGTTGTGCGTTTTTCCGTCTGCTGTCAGAGGTGAGACACTACCAGGGGATACAGGAGGCATGGAGATAAGCCCTGCCCCCACGGGACAGCACATGGCTTAAAAACCCACTGAGTGCCCCCACTCTCCTGTCCAGTCTGCTGCCAGATTGGACTCACGCAGGGATGTCTAGCCGGGCTAAAGTCCACGACAGCGTCTCTGAAATCATAGCGGGTAAGACAAAGCCCGTGCTCTGCTTTCCAGACAGCATCTCACAGCAGCAAGCTCTCACACACACCGAGGAGAGCAGAACTCTCCTCTGAGGCATTGCAGGAATTAGGCTCAGTCTGTGTCACTAAATACATAATGGGAATTAGGCTTAGTCTGTGTCACTAAATACATAATGGGAATTAGGCTCAGTCTGTGTCACTAGATGTATTATGGGAATTAGGCTCTGTCTGTGTCACTAGATGGTCTCTGTCTTTGGGGCATAAAAAGATCTGCCTCTCCTATTTTATCTGGGATCTCATGAGCATCGCTAGGTGCAGTAACTTAATAAGACGTAAGTTGCTTTGTTGCATGAGTACCAGCACAATAGAGAGGCTCAGAACCGGAGGCATGAGACTGAAGGGATTATAACTATTTTAAATCCTAGTTTATAACATACACGCCTCATCTCAAGTGGCTGAGGTAACAATGTGGTCAACTTTCCATGTCACAGTGGGCTGTTACTTCAACAGTTGTTTGAAGAATTAATTTTTTGAAGACAACAGTGTTGTTTGTTATGTCTTCTTTGGATCAGATGATAGAGACCGAGGTCTGGGCTTTTGTGGATGGGTTCTAGTGATCCTGTCTGTGTTGCTGATGATGATCACATTCCCTTTCTCACTCTTCAGGTGTATAAAGGTGAGTTTTCCCCGTGGATGTATGAATTAATTAATGAATCAATCAACTAACCTCCCTTTGATTTCATTTGAAAGATCTGGTGCAATTTCTGATATAGTATTAATATATTTTTAAAAAACATACATGTGTTCAGCTAACAGGGAACGTTCCCCAAAGTTTAGCTAACGTCATGTAAAGGTTCTCTCAAAGTTGGCAGAGAATGGGCCTCATTCACCAATATTTTCTTAGGAATTCTCTTAAATTTGTTCCTGCGAAATTTGTTAAGAACAACCTACGTCGGATTCATGACATGTTCTTAAGTAGCAGAATTGTTCGCACCTTTGTTCTTAAGAATGATGAATCCCACGTCTTCGTAACTGAAAGCGCGTGCCAGTTTGTCCTAATTAGCATAGGGAAACGCCCTGCAATTTCCCATAAAAGGGCATGAGACTGTAGGGCCGTGTGCAAGGAATGGCGAAGAGGCGCGCAGGCTGTGAGCCGCTTGGCACTAAGAGGAAAAAAAACTTAAGTAACGCTGAAGTAGAAGTATTAATACAGTAAAATCCCGTTATAGTGGTCTCGCTTATAACTGAATATCATCTATACTTCTGATACTTGGCAGATGAAATCTAACACAGATAAATGTAAGGTACTCCATGCAGGGAGCAGAAATATAAAGTACAGATATTTTATGGGTTACACTGAAATAAAGGTAGCTGATTACGAGAAAGATCTTGGTGTGTATGTTGATGCTTCCATGTCCCACTCTCGCCAGTGTGGGGAGGCAATAAAAAAGACCAATAGAATGTTGGGTTACATCTATAGGTGTGTGGAGTTTAAGTCAAGGGAGGTGATGTTACACTTACTGTATATAATTCCTTGGTAAGACCCCACCTAGAATATTGTGTGCAGGTTTGGTCACCATACCTTAAGAAGGACATTGCTGCCTTAGAAAAGGTGCAACGGAGGGCTACGAGAATGATTCCTGGTCTTGGAGGAATGTCTTATGAGGAGAGGTTAGCTGAGCTGAATCTGTTTAGCCTTGAGCAAAGGAGACTAAGGGGGGACATGATCCAGGTATATAAGATTCTAACGGGTCTGGATGCTGTTCAGCCAAATGGCTATTTCAATATTAGTTTAAATACTAGAACTCGTGGGTCAGTGTAAAACAATGTAAAACGTGTTCCATTAACGCCACATAAGAACATTGGGCCTCATTCACCAATTTGTTCTTAAACCCCACATACACACTTTTTTTTTTACGAAGATTCTGACATTCACCAATGTTTTCTTATCTGAATTTGTTCTTAGCTAAGATCAGAATCTACGCACACTCAAGACCATTCGTACGCACATTTGAGTAATGATAGTTTGTTCAAAATAATCGGTTATAGCAGTTTTGTTCATTCTAAAGTTCATAAAATTATAGTATTTGAATAATTTATAAAAGTAAAATAAATCTAGGTCTGTCTCTGCGCATTGGCCTTGCTATCAAAATGGCATTTCTGTTACTTCTTGAGGAGCTTGCTAATCGTGCTCTGAGAAGGGAATGCATGTTATTTAGATTTATTTGGCACACAGTGTTCACAGAGAAGGTGATATCTTTCCATGTGCCAGCTTTCTTGGGGGCTTTATATGGTTACGCTACTAAATAACATGTGTCTATTTGCATTTACCTCCTGTACAATACAATGCAGTTATAACGGACTTCAAGGGACCTGGCAAAACAGTCCATTATATCCAAAGTCTGTTATATTCAGAGTTGCTGTATGGCCAGAATACAACTACAGGACACCATTTACTCATGCCACACATACCTCAGCAGACACACTTGTGGTATAGATTATTATATTGTACATGTAGTAATCCAACTTTACCTGACTATTAATAATCCCGACTACGTATCTGCGCTGGACATCACCTGCACGCCACGCGCCTTGAAGGCGGAGCCTGCATCTCCGTTATAGCGGAACAGAACTACAGCTAAAAGCGGCCCTGGGGACCAAATTGTTTGTCCGTTATAAGCGAAATATCGTTATATGCCAGTCCGCTATATCCGATGCTTTTTCTGTATGTTCTTAAAGGCGCACGGCCGGGACCAGCGGACCTCGTCCGTTATAGATGATATTCCGTTATAAGCGAGTCCACTATAACGGGATTTTACTGTATTAATACTTCTGCTTCAGTATTACGGAAGTTTTTTTGCTAACCGGCGCACAGCCTGCGCGTCTTTTCGCCATTCCTTGCACACGGCCCTACAGTCTCATGCCCTTTTATGGGAAATTGCATGGCGTTTCCCTATGCTAATTACGACAAACGGGCATGCACTTTCAATTAGGTGCAAACAATTCTGCTACTTAAGAACACGTCATGAATCCGACGTAGGTTGTTCTTAACAACTTAACAAATTTCGTAGGAACATATTTAAGAGAATTCTTAAGAAAATATTGGTGAATGAGGCCCAATGTTCCTAGAATAAAAAAAATTGTTAGCTGGATGCAAAGTCACGATGTGCTTCTCCACATTAATTTCACCACCGGTTCTGGGCAGCCCGCATTCTCATATCTCATTCTCCACAGATCGTTCAGGAGTATGAGCGCGCCGTTATATTCAGGCTGGGCCGTATCATCGACAAGAAGGCCAAAGGACCAGGTTGTCCGGCTGAATTTGCCACACCACTCCAATCCACTCCACTGTCACCAGCACCTTAGTCTGAGGTCCTGGGGGGTCTATCCTCTAAACGCCTCTCCCTTCCATCGCTCTAGGCATGTTCTTTGTACTTCCCTGCACAGACAATTTTGTGAAGGTGGATCTGAGGATGGTGTCTTTCGACATCCCTGTACAAGAGGTATTTACATTATTTACACACGTTACAGATTTGTGGAGAGTTGTGAGTGGGGATCCAGGTGGGAGAGAAACCCTGAACAGCGAGGCTGAAGGCAACACTTTTGGGGGGGGGGACATTAAATTGATCAAAAGGCACAAAAAACAACCTGTACACCCAGAGGACCCCATCTAAACACCAGTATAGAATAGTTCAATCAGAGACAGTTCACTGTGGGGGCCTCAGCCATGTGTAGAAAGGCCTCTGAAATCCAGCCTCCCTCTGAGCTCCCAAATGGTTAATCTGCTATAGTATAAACAATCAGTATGTTCCACTGCTCTACTGCAAAACTTTAATTCCAGAAAAGTGATTTGAATGTAAACTGCAAAAAAAATGAAAACGTTACACTATAGCAATTACATGTGCACAGAGCAAGCCAGTAATACTGATAAATTTATCCTGAAATTATCCATTTACATTTAATGGCACGGGTTGCTGGCGTGTTACCATCTCTGCTGTTCTGTCCCTTGGGGCAGATCTTGACCAGGGACTCAGTGACAGTGTGTGTGGATGGAGTGGTCTACTTCCGGGTCAAATGCCCCATCTCCTCTGTGGCTAACGTGTCCAATGTACACCACTCCACACGTCTGCTGGCCCAGACCACGCTGAGGAACGTCCTGGGCACCAAGAACCTGTCCGAACTGCTGTCGGACCGAGAGACCATCTCAAGCAGCATGCAGGTATGGGCGATCTCAGGGTCTCAGAAGGGCATCTCTCTCAGCTTCCAAGTGTCCAGCTAAAAGGGAACATTCCCAGAACTTTAGCTAAGGTTATTTAAAGGTCTTTGCAAAATTTTAGCAGGACCTCAGTGGAAGGTGGAGGCCAGCCGGGTCATTGTCACTGTCAGAGCCTTGAGATGAACGACTCCTTAGTCTTCATAAATACAAAGGCTACATGTTTTCAGCTATGTCTGGATGAGGTCACTGATCGATGGGGCATCAAGGTGGAGCGGGTGGAGATCAAGGACATCAGGCTGCCCCAGCAGCTCCAGAGAGCCATGGCGGCGGAGGCAGAGGCCAGCCGGGATGCCCGAGCCAAGGTGGGTCAATGACCCTTTACTTCACTCAGGAAACTGCACTAGCTTCACTCGGATCATGGCTGTGTCGAGGTCGTCACATCCATTCAGACCACAGAGTGTTTACCCAAAGATGCCCGAGTGCAACCCCCTCCTGCTTTGCGCCCCCTGCAGGTGATTGCCGCCGAGGGCGAGATGAATGCCTCACGGGTGCTGAAGGAGGCGTCGCTCGTGATCTCGGAGTCACCTGCTGCCCTGCAGCTGCGCTACCTGCAGACACTCAGCCAGATCGCAACCGAGAACAACTCCACCATCATCTTCCCGCTGCCACTGGACATGATCCAGCACCTGGCACAGAGGAAGTGAACCCCAGCCCCACCCAACAGCCCCACTTAGCAACCCCAACCAACAGCCCCACGTAGCAACCCCACCCAACAGCCCACATGTCAGCCCCACCCAACAGCCCCACTTAGCAACCCCACCCAACAGCCCACATGTCAGCCCCACCCAACAGCCGCACTTAGCAACCCCACCCAACAGCCCCACTTAGCAACCCCACCCAACAGCCCCACTTAGCAACCCCACCCAACAGCATAAGTACATGTCACTCACAATATTTGTTTCTGATACTAATAGAAGATTAACTGGCTATTTTCTGTACAGCATTTCTAGCTGGTTTGTTTTTATAAATCCTTTTCTTACGTTTTTAAGCTTTGATTATTTTTGTGTTTTGCACTCACAGTATATGCAGTTCAGAAAGAAAATTCCAAGCAGATTAATTATTCTTAATTTATTGTGATTTTTTCAATAATGCAGATTATTCTGCTTCTTGCAGTGTTCTCCTGTTGTATGATCCCATCCCCCCTTACACACCGTTGAAAATACTCCTTTTTGGCAGCAAATGCCAGTCCAGTCTTTTAAGGTGCATGTGATGGTTTGAGCTGGTATACAAAAGCATTGTAGACAAACCCTGTTAAAATGGGTTTTACAACCTTCGTGATTCTTTGCATCGCTTCTTGTTTAGACTGGAGGTAAGATATCTGCTCAACTCATAAGTACACATTTGATATAAACAGAGAACAGATTCCCACAATACTGACAACATAAACGACATGACAACCTTCATCAAATGGTGCTTTCAGTTCCACACACACACAACTAAGGGTCACCAAAACAGAATTGTTTTGTAACACGATTTAATATTTGAATCCAAAGTGCATTGATATGGATCAGCAGATACATACAGTATGGTCCTTCATTCTTCACAATATCATTGGTCATCTAGACTACTGTTTAACATTAATTTAATATTTCAAAAAAAAAAAAAAATGCAAACAATCAACTAAACAACCATGCTTTTATACTGCAAAAATAAAACAAATATGATTCAGTCTTGGGAGGCAAAGTTATTAAAAGAGAAGCAAAAAAAGAAACAGTCACAAATACCACCCTCAACCCTAAAATACTGTTCTACAGTGAAGCACTGGGGCTGCAGTACATGATCATGCCCCCAGGACACAGGGGCTGTCAGTGCAGTGTCAGTAGCACATTCTGAGAGGTTTGCAGTGTAGCCGAGAATGAATATATCTGGCTGTTACCCCTCTTTGGCTAAACAATGTACCCAGAAGGACAGTGGTATTCCCAAGCAGGAGACCAACATAAAGTCATCACAGAACCCTGTGTAGGACCAATTGTGCAATCCAACTGAAGTCTAACCTAGGACCCAACCAAGGAGGAGGGTACGACCCCATATAGGGTGAGTAGAGGTTTCAGCATAAGGCCATCACAGCACCCAGTGTAAATCCATTCTTTGAGTTATTAGGTAACAAGCACCAGTGAAGTTGTCGTCATTTATCCCTGTTAATGTGTTACTCTAAAGGAGCTTTGATCTAAAAATCTGAGATAAGGCTACATTTTTAGATTGTTCTTCATTTCTTTGAATCTCAAAGAAAATACTGTATCATTCTTGACATCAATTCATGACATTTTTGGACCATTAGTGAAGCTTAGCTCACCAAGGGCTTGTGTAATTAGATATTTTTTGCAGTTATTTGATAACGCTGAATCTAATTGGAACATTAATTCTGTCTCTGTGTTGAACAAGAGTTGATTAATCTTCCTAATAAAAAGCAGTGGAAAAATTAAAAATGTGTTTGGGTGTAATAGGGTTGAAGTATGGAGTGTTATTATGAAAATGACAGAATGACCTTGAGTATAATGAAAGAAGGTGGAAATTTCCTCTGATGATGGTGTCTAGTCAACACACTTCAGAAAAAGGTCTAAACATCCCTTTGAAATTTTTTTCTAAATTATATTAACCAAAACACAAACCCAAATCTTAATAAAAAAGATGGTTTTACACTGTGCGTGAATTAAAACACACACACACCAGAGTATGGTTTTCAGCTGCGAAGATCATGTGATGTGCTACTTGATTGGTCCAAAGCAGGTGGGCTAAATTCCTTAATCTCCACAGAGGTCAGCAGTGCAGCTTCCAATTTCGAAATCTTGCAGCTGAATGCAGTGCCCACCCATATGAAAACTCACTGACTTTGACAAATATGTACTACTGTAAACTGGAGAACTGAAACAAGATCTTCATATTGCTGAAATGGTTATATGGCCACAAAATAAACAATGTGTAAGAGCAAATGACATTGGAGTAGGTGAGGACTGTATTATTTAAATCACTCATTTCCTTCTGAGATAAATACATTATGAGGCAAATATTGACTGTCATTGACTGGACCTTGAGGACAGCTTTCACTGCTGCAGAATAAATCACAAGACAAGTGACATTGGGTGGTCTGACATTCTGTGTAAATTTTATGGCTAAATCCCAAACTGAACATAAATTTCAGTCTAGTTGAGCTGGCTAAAGGACCTCTGGGAAGGATCACATGTTACGTTCTGTAACTGATGTACATTTATAAAATTTATGGACCATAACAACACCCCACATTTCTAGAGGTCGTCATAGAGGTAAAGTAGAGACAGGGCGGCACTTATGACACAAACCCTCAGTGATACTCCTGGAGAACCCCTTTGGGGGACAGGTCTCAGCAGGGAGATGGGAGAGGCAGTCCTTTAAGCTGAATAAAAAAGGAGTATCACCTATCCTGACAGGTGCAAGACAGTCAAAACAGCTGATACTTCTTCGGTAATGTCTGGAAGACTTACAGCACACTTTATAGAGCAACAATGTCCACTCTGGTTTACAGAAACCTGCGGTGCTTACTGACAGGCCCTACAGAAGTAACTGGCTGTCTTTGTGAAGCCAGAGGCTCGTTGAGGATCGGTAACAGAATGAAAGCTTTCCTCAGGGCAGAGAGAAGCAAAGTATGATTTCCACAAGACAACTGCATGTGTCGAAGGCTAAAGTGTTCAAGGACCAAAGGCCTCAAATACCCTTGAAATCCCCTAAAGATGCCAACCACCCCACGGTGACAAGCAGGAAAAAAGAATTCCGCTATTTCTGCTTGATGTGCTTTTGAAAATCAACACAGATTTCAGGACCAAAAGCTATATGCCTAAAATTAATGTTTGACTGAATAATATGATGACAGGAGATTATTTTTTTGTTGTGTAGAAATGGCATTTTTTTTACATGATTAAGCTGTAATATCTTGGTTAGGATTTCGTGTAAATTAAATAAATAAATAAATAAATATTATATGGTGAAGCATTTAAATGGGCAACTGTAAAACTTGGTGGTGACAACGAATGCGATGGTTCATACAGGAAACAAGAAAAGCTGCTCATTTTTTTCTTATCATTGTAATGAATTAAAACATTGAGAAACAGCTGCATGATCCAGTTTAACATGCATTTTACATTCTGGTTTACAAAAAACTGGTTACATTCTAGTGTAAAAAGAAAAAAGAGTGGAATGAGCCTGATATTCCAAGCACACATTAGGCGGCCATCATGTACACCCAGGATTTATGAACTTGGGGTGGGAGGGGCAGGATATACCCTTACTATCTTCTTTATAGGTTGGATGTGGCAGAACCTGCTGGTGTGAAGACTTGAAGGTTATCCAGGGATACAACCAAACTACAGCTACGATCCTGGTTTGCAGCAGGTTCCTGACCCCAAACAGAGGGTGAAAGCACCAGTGCGAGCAGGGGGGAGATGTGGAAGATTGTGCTTTTGTCCGGGTCTCAGGTGAACGCCAGCCAGAGCAGCCTGGTGCCGTTCAGTGCATTCGAGCATCTGTTACGAGCGGGTGGGCGGGCGATTACAGGTCACGATCACAACTGCCGGTGATTCCCAATTGACACGAGTGGGATTGAACACCAGCAAGAGGGGACTGGGGAACCTGGAATAGGGGACTGGGGAACCTGGAATAGGGGACTGGGGAACCTGGAATAGGGGAGGTCAGGCGGCGGTTCCCGGATTATCCTGGAAAAATCAGGCAGCGTTCTTGTCCACATGCTGCAGTATGTCCACGACAGGCAGAGGGAGGCAGAGAGTTTAATACGAAGAGTTCAGCTCAGAAGTTGGTTTCCAGGTCATGACATTATACTTTAAAATGACTGCCTGATTCATAAGACTGTAGGCTGAGGTGAAGGAGGCTCTAGCTCAGCTGTGGCACCATGTGGGAGAGCCGGTGACTGGGAAGGCTTCCCGTCGAGGGCCTAGAGGAGGGGAGGGGGGAGTGGGAACAGCAGGGGGC